TGCAGTATTAGCAGGTTCTTGTATGGAGATACAGACAGGCTCTCAGAGCTATGCTAATAACAGTATCAAGGTATTTCTCCCTTGATTCCAAAGGCAATCAATGTTTCTTCCCTGACACACAGCATTGCAGCTGTAACAGACATCTTATATTGCAACAGCAAGAGCATTTTCTACTCTTCTGCTTAGAGGGAACCTTTCTTTGACTGACTTGTCTGCTGAGTCACCCTTTATATATATATATTACATTTCTACATATACTAGTATCAGAATTCTAGATTCATGGGAAACTTCTCAGTCTGGTCAATTGAATGCTGGTCTGATCTGCTGTAGCTTCATGAGAACAAAGAGTGTCACAGAATACTCTAAACATCTCTTTGTAGCTGCACATCATGAATAATAATAATTACATGCCATCAAATTCATTCCAACTTATGTAGCTCTTTTTTAGGAATGTTTAGGTATAGAGCACACAGAACTAGTTTTCATTCCCTTCTTCCAGAGGTACTCTGGGACTGTGAAGCTTGCTCAAGGCTACAGATGCTGGATCTTCTCCCGGGATGCTCAGTGGATAATCAAACTCCCAACTTCAGGAATCACAGCCAAACACCTAACTTGCTGAGTTGTCCAACTGCACACAGGAAACAAATAATGTATGGTTGCAAATCGTACTCATTTTCTCACCAAGGAACCCCTGATACACTTTAAAGAAGTCCAGGTTTTATGCAACAGTTTGAAAACTACTCAGACATAAGATGAGGGCAGACAGATCTGCCTTGGACCCTTTGCACAGTGATGGAAAATATTAGAAATGGGAAGTTTTATTTTTGAGAACTACAAACCCCAGATAACTCCCAATGTTCTGAGCATGCAGTGAAAAGGTAATATTCTCCATGTCTGAAAAATTCTCATATACTTTAAGAGTGAGACACCCAAGATATGAAAGTTTTATAATGAGAACATAGTATAAAGTTGAAAACTATTTTATGGTCGTAGCTTTATACTGATCTAATAAAAGTATCACTCATTCTTGCTTAAAAATTGTAGTAACTAAGCCAATTTTTGAGCCAGCTTGTACATTTCAGCTCACTGGGTGATGTGGAAGTTCAAGTCTCCTTTCGATTTCCAAATTATCCAAAAGACAATAAGCAGCCATTGGAGAGGAATCAACAACAACCTATTGACTTTTGGTGATATTGTTCCTCTCTTGTGGTTTCCTTGCCAAACTCTCTCTCTCTCTCTCTCACACACACACACACACACACAAACAATGGCAAAAAGAACATCCTATATCAAAAAATCAACAAATCAGTAAAAATCTAAATATTTATTTAAACATATTACAAAGAAACTATCTTCTTTCCCATAATCACTAACATATAGTAATTCCTTCTTTGAATTTGCTCAAATCATCGGGAAAAATAATAAATATCCCTTCAAGAACAACAAATATCTCATAACCGGGGGTCCATTTACTCATTCTTGCTTAAAAATTGTAGTAACTAAGCCAATTTTTGAGCCAACTTGTACATTTCAGCTCACTGGGTGAAGTGGAAGTTCAAGACTCCTTACACACACACACACACACACACACACAAATATATTTTACAGCAAACAATGGCAAAAAGAGCATCCTATATCTTAATCCCAATGGGAAACTATTTCTCAAAGAATCAACAAATCAGTAAAAATCTAAATATTTATTTAAACATATTACAAAGAAACTATCTTCTTTCCCATAATCACTAACATATAGTAATTCCTTCTTTGAATTTGCTCAAATCATCGGGAAAAATAATAAATATCCCTTCAAGAACAACAAATATCTCATAACCGGGGGTCCATTTAATAGAGATTTCCAATCAGCATATTCCAAGGGTTACAAAACTGACATACGTTTCATATTTGGATTAATCTAAATTTGGCTAATTCAGATAAATTCAGGAAATGACCAAATAGAAACAAGACTTCTCCAAAGACTACTGAATCTTTACCACCTCAAAGATTTGTTAGCAATTTTGATTTAGAGAATCACATGGATACATAGATTGTGTTTCATCAAAAGTGTTGCATCCTGCCCCCCAAAGCTGCATATTAAAGAAAGTATCAGGGTGATGAGAGAAGTGAGGGAGAGATGTGGATGAAATTTGATGACTGGGAACTTAAGTTTGTTTGTTTGTTTGTTTGTTTGTTTTGTTTTGTTTTGTTTTGTTTTAATTAACTATCCAACATCAATCCTTTGAGGGTGTCGTGCTGAAGTAATATACTGTTTGTTTGTTTGTTTGTTTGTTTTAATTAGCTACCCAACATCAATCCTTTGAGGGTGGGGTGCTGAAGTAATATACTGCTGCAGACCTGGGCAAAGTGCAGCCCAAGGGCCACATATGGCTTGCGAGCCACTCCTCTCTGGCCTGCAGACAGTTTTGAACATCAAAACCATTTATAGCTTTTTGTCTAAAGTTGATCAGTTGCTTATCTTTAACATACCCAAAAACCTTAGTATTTGTGAAGATTAACTAGTTTAAAATAAAAACAATTATAACATCATTGTTTCATTTTATTTTTAAGTAAAGTTGGTTCAGCCCCCAAACACAGTTCAGATTTTTCATGTGGCCCCCCTATAGAAATTAATTACCCACCCCTGTACTGCAGGGATGATCTAGAGATTATCACTGCTTGTTGCTTAATTATCTCCCCAAGAGGAGAAATTTTTAAATAGTTTTGGCCAATGGGATAGTGGTCCCCCTATAGAAATTAATTGCCCATTTAGAGATTATCACTGCTTGTTGCTTAACTATCTCCCCAAGAGGAGAATTTTTTAAATAGTTTTGGCCAATGGGATGTTGAAGCTAATTAGTATTTGGTGCTTGCTTGGCAAATACTGATTTTCAGGTTCTTCTGCTTCTACCACAACATGTTCCACATCTGTCATCCATTTCTCTCCTATTGTACTTCCTGTCAGTTTGGTGTCACCTAGGTTAAAAAACAACAATGCCTTACACTGTTTTTCTCTCACCATAACTGCCCAGGCCCCCTTTCCCTCCTAACCCTCTGAGATTTTGCAGGGTTCTTCCCTAAGGACACCTCTGACCTACCCCATTTCCACATAAATTGTCATAAGAGCCCATGGGGAATATACAGGGATGCCAGTACTCCCCTTGCCCAAATCTGACAAAACAATGCAAAAGATACCTGATTTCTCCCCAAAATTACAGCTTTTTCCAAATTTTAAAATAATGTTGCCTGTAGTGGGTTTAGAATGGTCAGAAGCCTCTTATGTACAGCCGCCCTTGCGCTAGCTGCCAGTACAACAGGATCTGACACAAATGGTGCGCTGGCTGAAATGAGCCCACAGAAAAGCCAAAAAAAGGGGGGTGGGACAGAAAAAAGAAGGAGCTCAGATTCTCAGCTCCTTTCTCAGCTGAGATTCACAAACAGTATGTAAGCATAAAGTTCAGCCAATATCAAAGTATTCCTAAATAATTTCCAACATCCCTAGTCTGGCAGAGATTTAGGTTCAGCACAGTCTCAGATAGTTTAAACATATATAGCTCAGCTATTACCAGTCATCTAACTGGCCAGTCTTCAACTCAGGTCTAAGCCAAACTGGGTTATTTTCTGAATCACTTCTGAATCTTTTGGTTTATAAGTGCAACTCTACTAGAAAGCCACATTAGTTGCAAGTGAATCAAGGAAGGAATGCCAGTGAGGCGTTGAGAGCAGGAAGTGGAAATTAAGGTTTCATTTGTCTTTATCCCAGACATGAAATTGCTATGACAGAATCCATGATGGCTAACTATGTCAGCTGATGCATATTTCAGTAATTTCTATGTCCACATTCTGAATCATTTGGGATTTGCCATTGCAGTGAAGATCTGTAAACATCTATGATTTCTTTATAAATCAATGTCAGAAATAGCAAAAGACAAAAGTAAAGAGATGTACTTGATAAGGAAATGTCTTTATGGCCTTTCTGGAATATGATTTGGTTTTCTTTGGCGATAAGTACATAGTTCTTTGTCTAGGGAAAACAGATGTTTTCTGCTTTCTCCAACCCATCTCAAACCTACCTCCGAAAAACTGCAGTTCCTCCCTATCTTCTCTAAAGTAATGTTCATAGTAATGTGAGTACTTATTTACAACTGAGCAATATTGAAGACTACATAAAATTCAGCTGCAGGACCATTTTGAACACTGGTAATTCTCTCTCTCCACTCTCTTTGTGTATGTGTGTGTGTTCATGTTGTACTTCTTTCCTTCCTGTGTATTCCTCTTTCTACAGAAAGATAATGGATCCCCATTATAGTTTTTTTAGTGCAACAAGAAGAAGAAGGTAGTACTTCCCAAACTGTAGGCAAGGGCAGCAGATGTTTATAAATCAGCAATTAAGTACATTTAGGTCAATATGGCACACAAACACACAAAGCGTCTTGGAAGGCCAAGGAGAAGGGCAAATAAATAGTTTTATATGAGTCATCTACAACTTCTTTTTCCCTGTTCTGAGCAGCGGCAAAGATAATCCATGACAGAAGTGTTATGCATCAACCCTGACATATGTTAGCTTTAAATGAAGAGAAACTCTTAATTTCCAAAGATATTATTGCGAATCTTTCCAATGATTTCACTAATCACTTCTTGGTGAGAGTCATGATATCAGTAAGTTAACAAAATACCAAAGAGGCAATTATATGGTCTCACTGTTTTAAAAGAATTACTTAGGTCTTAAAATACAGTATTAAGCCAATTCAAATTAAACAACCGGAGTAACGCATATTGGGAACAATATGGCAAACATTATTCAATCCATAAATTTCATGCTGACAAGACTAAAAATGATGTTTTAATGTCACAATCAAATTTCCTGAGCCGCAGATCAATTTTTTTTGATACCACCTAAAAATTATTTGGTGAGCAAAAAACCACCATCCTTAGTTACCACCACTACATTTTTCTAATAGTATCACAGGGAAGCTGTTTTTACATAACCAGCTATTAGAAATTACCTCCCAGTCCAGGTCTCAGGCGATTATCATAACCATCCAGGAGTCTGTCTAGAATTCTTGTAAAGATGGTGATATTATTTTTCGCTTCATCCTCAGCAGAGTCAGCTGACACTGATCTAAACAAGACATTTGATTTTTAAAAAGTCTCATAAGCATATTCTTTTTACATTTACTATGCAGTCACTGTCTACTAGTGAATATTTAAAGTTTCCATTTAGTACAGATTACCAAATTGTCATCCTTTTTTTAATTGAATAATCAAGAGTCTTCAGGTCTTCAGATTTAATTCCTTCCCTTCAAGGGCACCATTCAACAAATAACCTAATGTTGTTATTATTAAACCATTATTCCTTTTTTATTCCCTCCTAAAGCCTACCCAAAACTTTTCCACAGACTCCTAACTGTCAAATACTTAGCAGCAGCCACTTTACATCTTTCAGCCCTTTGTGCTTGTTTTCTTCCCCCTCTCTTTAAATATTTTGTACTCCAGCAATTATGCAAACAGAAAGTGACCACTCATTGTTGGAGATAACATATTGATCAAGGTGGGCCTTTAGCATGATCCAGATGAGGCATTTCCTGTTTTCTTTCTTTCCTACAAACATCAATTGTGACCAGATCAATGTGAAATTGATGTCACTTTGCTTAGGCTGCATGCAACTCACCTGGAACTTAAAAGATAAATGATATACCCAATTTTATGTTGTGACACACCTTTCATTCAGGAGGAGGTTAGGCTTCTAATAGAAAACTGGACAGTTCACTTTATCTACCTTCAGGCCATAACTTCTCTGAGATTCAGAGCCACAGAATCTATGATAACCCTGGCAACCATTGCAATGCATCCCTGTGGCAATGGATGAGGAGCTACAAGTTTTCTCTTAATGGTCACCAGCCTTCCCAGCAACCAGTACCAAACCCCTTCAAAATAATAAGTTTCTTTTCCTCATCTTTGTAAGTATTAGAGCATTTTTGTGTGGGAGGCTGGACATTAAACAATGGCATTCTGCTAAACCATGGGCAATGTTCAGGTTCCTCATTAGCTATGGAAGTGCAATCAAACAAAACTCTGCTCCTGTTGTTCTAGAAATGAATTTTTGTAAGATGAGAAAAATCAACTATTTTCATTCTCTGCCACTTTATTACATTTAGACATCATGTGACTCTGTGGCTCATAGAACATGGAGGGCCACCACTATCATGATAAAAAATTGGTTCTCTAAACAGTAGGCTGGTAAACTGAAACAGAAAAGCAGCAGACTACAAAAGTTATGGACACTCATAAATATTGCAAAGTTTTGTAAATTACAGTTGTTAAATAATTAAGCTATACAACAAGAACAATATTTTTAATTTCAGTGACAGTAAAGCCTTTCAGCAGGGAAAAATCAGAGGATTTCACAGGGTATCACACACAATATACATATTTGGAACCCATTTATTAACATAGAAATTGATTTCTCAATCATCTAAAATTCAGCATAAACATGCAATGAGAATAAAATAAACAAAAGTAAGCTTAGGTTATGAAAAGGTCTAAACAACCCAGTGGCAATGTCCTCTTCTTGTTCTAAAACTGGTGCTGAAAGCCTAATGCTCCTTGTTAGGAAAATCCAGTCGAAGGCCTTGCAATATTTCTTTAGGAATTAATTCTCATACACATAGCTTTATCACATCAATATTTTTGCAAGATATTCATGCCACACCTGAAACCACCAAAAGCTACTTTCATGCGAGCTCCAAATATCAGAATATCATAAAAGCATATGTTGTACTGTATATACATACTGGTTTCCCCAACAGGTTATTTATAGAAAAGTCTATATATACTCAGGTACTCAAGGAAAAATTAATGCTTTTTTTCTGCCGAGTTAATTGTTTTAACATGAGCACAATGTGGACTAAAACATCTAACTTTTTATACATGCTAAAAAGATTACTGGGAATTGAAAAGAGAGAGAGACTGTTGGTTCTGTCCAGCTATTAAACAAAATGGACAAAATACTTAAATATAAATTATTAGAGTCTGTGGCACTCAAGGCACTTCCTTCATAATTTGTAATAATCTGATTTGTAATCTGAGTCTTCAAATTTCATAGGTGACATGTCATGCAGGTTTTTAATACTTCAATTAATAATTATATGATGTAGAAAGTAAATATTATACAATTATTCAAAGATTTTGTTGGTGGGAGAAAAAAGTTAGTGTTGATCATTTTATGAGTTGGAATTTCATGCTGAATAATGAACTAACAGAAACAGTCTTTCACTGTATATGTTGACCCCCTTGACAGCAATGAGAGACTTACTCTTTGAGTAAGAGAACTAGGCCCATAGTGGGTAGACTACTGCTGCAGCATCCTTATTGGATAGATAAAACTGAAAGCACATTTTGTAGAAAAACAGTATACAGTTCCATTACTGATGTATGTATCCAAAAAAAATTAGCCTAATTTGGTTTTAGCATTAGACTTGAGGTTCATTTTAAAGGAAATAAAATAGAGGAACATATCAACCAGGATTCTACTGCAGTCAAAAATGTGATTCTACAAGCTAAATGAAGTTAGAAAAGACAAAAATAACAAATAAACCCATTAATTTGGATACAGAAAGGCCAAGCAACATGAAACCTAAACAAGAATTTTAAAGTTTCCCTCTATGACACTGACATTTTTAAAAAAATATAGTTTCTTAAACATCAAAAGTTGATTAATAAATCAGGTTATTGTTTTATTATATGGGATTGTGAAATTGTATACTATCTCCACCTAGAGGTTTAAAGATTAAATGTCTCAATGTTCTGCTATGTTGACCAAAAATATCCCCCATCCCAACACATATGTATATGCAAAATACCCCACAGTGTTCATATGTGTTGTTGTTGTTTTCTTGGACTTTACAGCCTGTTCTTTATTCTCAGTGTGGATAGGCATGATGTAACAAAACTGTGCCATAGTGACTCTAGAAAATATCATAAAGCTCCAAACATTACCCAGAAAAAATAAGAAGGGGGGCTTATTTTTCTCCCCTTTCAGGGAAAAACATGAAACTCTTGCTGATTTTTAGAAGGATTGGTTCAGTAGAAATTCATTAGCATTTCACAAACCTCAAATCTTCCTTAATCTGTTCTGTATAATGACAAGTCTTATATTTGAATAATATATTTTTATTCATACAGCAACACGTATAAGCCGATTACAGGGAACTATCTACCGGCATACAAGATAATTTTTGTATTGCTGTTGATTAAGAAGTAGCACATCATCTTACCTTGCAGAAAAACACACCAAGAAAATGAGAAGAACCAACTGCATCATGTAAAACATCAGTTTCCTCTTCATAGCTGCTTCCTTGAAAATCCTAAGGATACAAGAGAAGGGGAGGGCACTTAGCTGGAATCAGTTTCCATCAAGCAACGTCTTCAACTGAAACCACTGAATAATGCCACTTCCATGGAGACTTCAAATTAGTGGACCTACAGAGCATTCCTCCCAACTAATAACTTATTAGATGCCCACTATCCTCCCAGATCATGCGTTGTTTGAACATGCAGTGCAGAATCAAAAGTGACATACGACCAGATGCATTAAAAACGTTGCTTTCTTCCATCCCACTCCCGTGTAATAAATATTACAGATACTCAAGACTTTCCTTCAATTATTTGCTTGCTATGTGGCCAATCCGTTATTCCACATTGCTTTCACTACATCTGCCCCACCAGCACCAAAAGAAAAACAGTGAGGAAGATGGAGCGGAGGGTGAGGGGGAGAAAGAGGCACGTTTGCAAGAGGTTCACTGACAGGGCTGTGAACCAAAGCGGTTCAGCTCCTTCCAAATGCTGAACATGTTTGACAGCTGCTGAGAGATAAGAACTGTCACAGCCATAGAGACACATAGCCAGAATTCACAAATAATAACATAAACAACAGTCACGGTGCAGGGCAAAGTTGCAGAGCGCGGAGGAGGGGGGGGGGAGGAACAGGCTTCACTCACAGAAGGTATTTATCGATGCTCAGGTGAAAGGGAAGGTTCAAAGCAAAGATTTCCCCCCCCCGCCGCCGCCTTAATATAGATATAAATGCATATACAATTATTATTTTTTCCCTTCGTGTGCCTTCCAGTCCCTCCAAGCTCCTCGCTCTCGACTCGTTTCATTCAAGGGGGGAGAGGGGGGGAGAGAGAGAGGGAAGGGGGGAGCCTACCTTGGGAGCCCCAGGAGGCGCTCACAGAAGCTGCCACACACACACACCAAAAAAATGTTTCTTTCTTTTTTTAAAGAAAAAAAGATACTTGATGAGGTTGAGGAGGGGAGTCCTCCTTCACGAAGCTCTGGAGAGTGGGGGAAGCTCCAGAATGTAGTAACTTAGGGAGGGGGGAGGTTAAAGACGACTGCAGCGGCGGCGGCGGCGGCGCCAGCAACCCTCTGAAGAGAAGCGGACCCCGCGCGGTTCTGTGTGCATGTGCGGGAGCGCGCGCAAGCAAGCGAGAGAGCCGGAGCAGCACGAGGCGCGCAGGGGGGGAGGAGGCGAGCAGCAGCCAGCTAGGCTCCGTTATGCCGACGTGTGTGCGTGTGTGCTGCTCTGTGTCTGTGACTGTGTGCGAGGAGGAGAGTGACTGACTGACTGACTGCGCGAGGCGAGGCCCATTTCGGGAAGGTGGGCGGATGCGGGGGGGGGTCCTCGTTGCCCCACCGGGCGCGCCTGCCGCTGCAGCTGGTGCTCCGCCGGGAAGGATGAACCTGGAGGCACGCGGCGAGCGGTGGCAGCTCCTGGCTCCGCCGGGTCCTAGCGCGAGGGGGGTCGGGCTGTCCCCCCCCCTCTTTTAATCTCGCCTCCTCGAGGCCCATTTCGGGAAGGTGGGCGGATGCGGGGGGGGGTCCTCGTTGCCCCACCGGGCGCGCCTGCCGCTGCAGCTGGTGCTCCGCCGGGAAGGATGAACCTGGAGGCACGCGGCGAGCGGTGGCAGCTCCTGGCTCCGCCGGGTCCTAGCGCGAGGGGGGTCGGGCTGTCCCCCCCCCTCTTTTAATCTCGCCTCCTTTAGCAACCAGGGCGGCAGGCGAGGGGCGCAGGTTCTTTTTTGGATGTGAGCGTGAGATGTTGCCATTGCCGGAAGAGGGGGCTCCCAGCGTTAGCCCGTCTACCTCGCGTGCGACCCCTACCAACGTGTAAAAAGCTCCGTTGTCGCTCTGTTCGAGGAGCATCGCCTTTCCACGGAAAAAAGCTGAAGGGGGGGGTGTCCGCGTGCTTCCGCGCCTCCCGCCTCCCATGCCGCACTGGTTAGCCCCTGGCATAGAGCGCCGAAGAAGGTGCGGGTTTATCATGGGCGGGGTGCGGACCGGTGGCCCCAGTGGAGCTTCAAACGGCTGCCAATTGCAGCTGGTTTCCGTGCGCGATCCTCCCCCCCCGGCTGTTGCTCCGTGTGCGCATCTCTTTCTGGCTGATCTATCCAGACAGGTTCCTGCAATCGCAGCCACCCGCTCACACTCCAAAGAAACGTGCGCCCAGAAGTTTGCGTGGCACGCGATTGCGGGAGAGACGCGTGTAGAGAGGGAGCTTGCCCCAGCGTTACTTTCCGTGCCGACTGCACCACTAGCAGCAGCTCGAGATGCTGAAGAAGAAATCGGCGGGAGGAGGAGGAAGCTGCCGGGGCTGTTGCTTAATTTAGCCTTTCACTTGTCAGATCCATGTGCACTGAACAGGCTGGTTCTCTCTCTCTCTCTTCTTCCTCCGTTATTCTCCTGCCTTCCAACTGCGTGATCGCATATATTCTGCTTTATTACAGGTGATGATGCAAAGAAAGGAAATCTAGTAGCTGTATGGTCGGCCTGCATGTCTGTAAATTTTTAAAAATACAGATGTGTATTGTATGCATTGGGGGTGGTTTCCCCTTCCATGGCTTCCCCTTTCTCCCTAACAAAACATAATTTAACTGCTGAGAGAGCAGACAACTTTTCTTTCTTTTTTTTTTGCAATAACTACAGCAACAACAATACACCAATTTTCTAATAACAATAATCATAACAAGTACAGTATCTTTGTCATAAATAATATAAATGTTACTGAATCCAGCATATAATAAAGTATGAACACTGTGTTTAGAGGAACAATCTGCTCTGTTTAACTTTCCATGGCTATTTTCTGATTTAGTTTGCAATACCCTAAATGCAAAAGCAAGCAAAATTAGATTCAGTGGGAATTAGTTCCAATTAAAACCCTTTCAATGTTTATACTTTAATGACAGAAGAGAAGCCTCAGAGCTGAGATGGAAGCATTAAAAGAGAATGCAAATATAATGTGCATACCACAAACCTCATATGAAGGATATAGCTTTGGCCACATGTAAAATCTGTAGTGAGGGACATATTAGAAGTGGTGCTCTGCTCCTTAGACCAATCATGTAGTTCCATTAGCTGGAAAAATTAAGGAACAAAGAGCATCACTCTGTTGGGAGTGAGACATCAGGGAGGAATTTTGGATGTATGTGTGGATAGGCAGTACCAAAATTACCCAGTGCATGGCACCCTCCATGTGTGGGTGCACTATAGTGACCCTTTGAATTTAAGAGCTTGCCTAAACACAGTGTTGTCTCTGGGGTTGTGGGTAGGTAGGTGTGTATGTATGTGTATATGTATGTATTCCTCCCTGATGTCTCACTCCCAACAAGGATTGTCATCCCTTGTTGTTTATCTTCTTCCCCCTCTGCCCCACATACTTCTCTCAGCTCGCCTTTTTTCCTAGGAAGCTGTGCTGAGGGTGAAGGCCAGGTATGTTTGCTGAGGTTTTTTTTTCTGGGCTTTCTTTTTGTCTCCTCACCACATGGCCTGGGGGTGGGGCCTAGGGGGTGGGATTCTCTGCTTTAAAAGAGCGTGTCCCAGGACCCCTGGGACCCTTTTTCCTAACGGCGCACAAAATTCTCAAATTCTATGTCTGGCCTTAATATGGTAAATAGGAAAGCCAATTAGATTTGCATAAGCCTGGGAGGCAGGAAAGTTTAAAGGGTCTGATCATACTTTCGCACTATTAAAGAGCAGGCCAGGTAGGTGGGGCTCGTCAGCCATGGAAGGCAGCCCATCTAGGAGAAGGGAAACTC